TAGACAAAATAGTTGAAAAGGAAAAATATAAAGGGGGTGTGAGGAAAAGTAGGGGAAAACAACAACCTGCATTTATGTAGCGCCCTTCACGCAGGATAGCGTCCCAGAGCGTTTAAACAGGCAGCTCCTTCAGATAGCTGGGACAAGCATGGTGGGCTGAATGGCATCCTTCTGTGGGAGAAAGATTACCCATCAGAGGACACTCACAGAAGAATAACATGTGACTTTTTAAATATTCCCCCAAACATCAGCCGTTCAGAAGGACTTTGGCAGTTTATTGCATTTTATGTCACAAAGTGCTTCACAGTAATTGTCAAATGTAGTAACTTTTTTTAAAAATAGGCAAACACAGCAGAAATTTTGCACATACCACAATCAGCCATGATGTGAATGACTAAATTATCTGGAGAATTATTGGCCAGGCTGCCAGGAGAAACTCCCTTCACTTTTTGCAAAGTGATCAAAGGATCTTTAAATTGCACCCAAACAATTGGACCAGGATCTCGGTTTAATATTTCAACTGAAAGATGCCACGTCCAATAATGCAGCGCTCCCCCTGTAATGCACTGGAGTGTCAGGTTAGACTGAGTTCAAAGTCTGACTTGGACCTTGAATCCATAACCTACAGATCCAGATTGTTACTGACTGAACCAAGCTGATACCTAACTTATTAGGCCAGGTGGTCCAACTGGTGGCCCGCAGCTCCTTCCATGTTCACCAGTAAATGTTCTGTTAAGTTTCAGGAAGGGAAAAATATTGGTACGTGGCCTGCGGATGTTTCTGGCCCTCAGCACTCTAAAGGTTGGACCGCCCTCTATTAGGCTTTGGTTCACTATGTAATTGTATGGAATGTGGAATTCTCTGCCACAAATTGTTGGAAGTGGACTCTTATCAATTCTTTTAAAAGGGGATTAGCTGATGCTTGCAGGGAGGGATATTGCAAGGTAATGGTAAACGAGTCGGAACGTGGGATTAGACAAGATGGTTTGTGGAGAAAAACACTCATGCAGATTTGATGGGAGTCTTTCCGAGGTGAAAGATTCCATGATGGTGTCCATTGGTTAGAACCGTAGAACTTTACAGCATAGAAGAAAGCCATTGGACCCATTGTGTCTATGTTGTCTATTGTTTTGAAGAACAATCCTTACAGTCCAATTTCCCTTCCCTTTCACCCACAAAATATACGACAGCCCAATCTGTCGCTTGGTGTCCTTGCACTCGGGCATCCCCATGGGCACCTCAATGACCAATCAAGACCGAGCAGTCACAACCCATCTATTTAAATCCTGGTTTCTGTATTTTTGCTTTGGTTATGAAGATATCAAATATCAAATGTAAGGATTATTATTACGATGAAGCTTTATTGCTTGTTGTGTGAGGTGGGGGCAGGATTTTGAAATCCCAATCGAGGCATCAATAGGGCCTCACCTGAAAAATAGCTCAAAAAAAAGGTAAATAACAGAGAGGTTGCCCTTCTCTCCCGACCTCTTCAAAGAAGTCTTGAGTTTATAATGGGGGTGGGGGAGGGGAATAAACATTGGCTGAATGGGTATTTCAGGGCACCAATTTATGTCCAGGTAATATCACAGGATACCAGGCCGGCAGAAAACAACAACAAAATTACATTTGTATAACACCTTTCACGTCAGGAGGACGTCCCAAGGCAATGGACAGTCAGTATTTGGACCTGAGTTGGGGGGTCAGGATTGGGGAGGGTGGGGGCAGAGGAGAAAGAAAAGGACCGCTTCAGTGTGATGTCTTGAGTAACTTGGCGTCTGTGTTTTATGGGCATTGTAATAATTGGTGGTCGATTGGTGGAGTGCTTTCCGGGGGTAATATTCCCTCAAAAATAATAATTTTGCCACTCAATCCACGACTGCTTGTGGGAGACTGTTGTGCGCAATTGGCTGCTGCATTTCAACCACAAAATACAGTCACTCCATTTTACAGTATATTCTGTAAAGGGCTTTGAGGATGCCTCCATGATGTGATAAGGTGCTATGTTAAATGCAAGGTTTATTAATATATACCCTTCGAATTGCTCCTTTTTAGATGTGTTGATTTTATCTGGGGGCCAAACCTTGCTAAGTAGCGAGAGCTGGGAAAACTCAGCAGGTCAGGCAGCATCTATGGAGAATCAACGTTTCGGGTCCACAACCCGAAACGTTGACTCACTTTCTTTTCTCCATAGATGCTGCCTGAGCTGCTGAGTTTTCCCAGCTCTTTCTGTTTTGTTTCAGATTCCAGCATCTGCAGTATTTTGTGTTTTGTTCTTGTTAAATAGTTGTTGTGTATACAATATATTTTTGTAGCTATCTGACACCAAGTCAGGAAAGAGTGGGGAACGAAGGCCCAGAAGTCCATCAAGTCTGCTCCCAGGAGAACACTCCCCACTCCATATCCCACACATTTCTCCTGGTACTAAGATCCAGGACTGGCTTGCCTGTTTTTTTGTACAAAGTTACAGAACAGACAGGAAGTGGTGTACAGGGACACTTAGTGACACAGAATTATTTTTGTGTCACTAAATGTCCCTGTAAAGCTTTAACAAGTTTGCAGCACATGTAGAGATCATCATGGTCTGTGCTGGTTCGAGCTTCCCCCACCCCCTGCTCTTTCCCCATTGTTTTTTGAGGTGGTGCTAGGTTTCCCACTGGATCTATCTACTGTAATCCCATCTTCAGGAAATAGTTTTCCTGAAGAATTATATCCAATATGCAGGTTGAGTGGGAGTTGGCGGATAAGTGTTCTGATTGACACAAGAGAGCCCTAGTCATTCTGTGCATTTTAAAAAAAATGGCAATAGGGAATTTGGCAATTAAGTGCTAAAGAGTCATAAAAAATGGGAAAAGCCCCAAATGAGCATATCAGGGCTAATTTAACCTGTACTGTAGAATAAAGTCTTAAGAGCGTTATACACAGGTGGGGTTGGAGGATACAGGTCGTTGGTGTAGTTTTGATGAGATGTGGTGTACTCCCACATTGGGACTTGGAATCACATAATCTAAGATGACACTCCAACACGGTGCTGGGGTGTGTTGCATTGTTGGAGGTGCCATCCCTCAGGTGAGATGTTAAACTGAGGTCCCATCTCTGCCTATTCAGACGGACATTAAAGATCCCGTGACATTATCCAAAAAGAAAAAGGAGGTTCTGGCCAACAATCCGCCAGATAAAATTGGTGACTTAATCCACGACTGTTTGTGGGACGTTGCTGTCCGCAATCGACTGCTGCATTTCACCCACAAAATACACACTTCACAGTAAATCCTGCGAAGCGCTTTGAGACATCTCAGCGACGCGTTAGGCCACAATATCAAATGCAAGTTATTATTATTTACTATCCAATTCCCCTCTTTCCCCCCCCCACCACCCACCCCCCAACGACCTGTTGAGCAGCTTATATGATGTCAGTGAGGGTTGGTATGTAAATTATTCCGTGGGGGGGAGGGGAGGGGGGATGGGCCAATCAGCGCGCGGAGCGGTGACTCACCATATAAGGACGGCTCGCGCCATAAAAGGAGACATTTTGTGTCTTTATATGGGGAGGGAAAGTAGTGCCGGGACTGGTCGGAGGGGGGGGGAGGAGGGCGGACGGACTGTGTCTTCCTCCGCGACCCACAGACCCAGAGAGAAGCGCTTTCCTTTCAAATAAAGGTACAGAGAGGGAGAGGGAGAGGCGGACAGGACAGCAGTGAAGGGGCGGAGGAGCGGGCGGGTAACTGAGTGCCAATCATTACCTGGAAAGTAAGGGGGAAAATTCACATTTTCTTTTTAAGTGTCACAACATCGGGATCCGTGGGAAGTTTTTTTTTATTTTTAAAAAAAAGAGAGAGAGAGATTGGAAATCTATGTCCAGAACGATTTAGCTCCATTTTTTTTAAAAAAAATACATCGTTGTATTCCCTTTTCAAAGCGGGAGCGGACAACGGCTATGGCACACGTTTAGAAACAGCCCTTTTTTTAGAAAAAAAAACCACGTCGTCGTCCCCCGTCCCCTCCACAAAAAAAAAGAAATAATTGGAAGCTTTGTAGAATAAGTTTGGCCGTCTCGGGAGTGAGAGGTGCGTTAGAGGAGTAGTAAAAAAAAAAGAGAGGGGGGGGATTGGAATTGTTGCGGCGAAGCGAAAGGTTGAAGAGGATGTTTGAGATCTGAGGCTCTTCGAATAAACGAGAGGGGCGGTGCAGGGCTCCGGTGGGGGTCGGTGGGCAGAGAGGCTGCCGTGAGGGTCCGGTGATGGCCAGTGGGTGCTGTGAGCAGAGGTAGGGAGGAGGAGGGTAGTGGTGGTGGTGTTGTTGTTGTTGGTGTGGTGGTGGTGTGGTGGGGGGGGGGACTATTTTGTGTCGGTGTGTTGGTGCGCGGTCGGCCGCTGCATTGCGCAGACGCGGGGGTTCCCCACACTGTAGCCCGGGGGGTTGCCAGTCAGTCAGTGAGTTAGTCGGTCACACGGACGGACGGGCGGACGGGGCTGTCGGGTCGGGTCGGGCCGGGCAGGGGCGCGAGGAGGCCGCTGGAGCGCGGAGTGATCAACAGGAGCCGAGCAGACGATCGGCGACGAGAGCACAGCCCCCGTTCCCCCCCCCACACCCCCCCCCCCCCACACCCCGGCCGCGATGTTGCAGAGTCAGGCGGGAGCCGACAGCAGCAGCGGCGCCTCCTCCACCGCCTCCTCCTCGGCGGCCAGCGCCGGCCACACAGCCCCGCTGGGCAGCCGCGCAGAGCGGGACCCTGACCGGGACCCCGCGGCCCCTCCTCTCCACACCCACACCCACCACCACCACCTCAGCGCGGCCGCCTACAGCGGCTCCGAAGCCGCCAGCAGCGACGAGGACGACGACCTGGTGGCGGCCCCGGCGCCGCCTGACCGGCGAGGGGTGAAGCGCGGGGTGGCCGAGCTGGAAGCTGCCTCCGCCGCCGCCGGTATGGTGGCCGGTCACGACTCCAACGCGGACGGAGGCGGCGGCTTGTTAGCGGCCGCCGGGGCCGCCGGGGCCGGGGGAGGGCGCGCCGGGGGCTTCGGCATCGCCGGGGCGGCGGCGGCCGGAGCCGGACTGAAACCCGGCAAGAAAACGCGAGGCAGAGTGAAGATTAAAATGGAATTCATCGACAACAAACTGAGGAGGTACACGACTTTCAGCAAAAGGAAGACCGGCATCATGAAGAAGGTGAGTGGGGGCGGGAAAGCCCAGTTACCTTTACATCTGACAGCTGAGGAGGGAGGCCGCCACATGACAGCTGTGTGTGAGAAACACCGTGACTGTGTGTGTGTGAGAGAAACACCGTGACTGTGTGTGTGAGAAACACCGTGACTGTGTGTGTGTGAGAAACACCGTGACTGTGTGTGTGTGAGAGAAACACCGTGACTGTGTGTGTGTGAGAAACACCGTGACTGTGTGTGTGTGAGAGAAACACCGTGACTGTGTGTGTGTGAGAGAAACACCGTGACTGTGTGTGTGTGAGAAACACCGTGACTGTGTGTGTGTGAGAAACACCGTGACTGTGTGTGTGAGAAACACCGTGACTGTGTGTGTGTGAGAAACACCGTGACTGTGTGTGTTGTGAGAAACACCGTGACTGTGTGTGTGTGAGAAACACCGTGACTGTGTGTGTGTGAGAAACACCGTGACTGTGTGTGTGAGAAACACCGTGACTGGTGTGTGTGAGAAACACCGTGACTGTGTGTGTGTGTGTGTGTGAGAAACACCGTGACTGTGTGTGTGTGAGAGAAACACCGTCACTGTGTGTGTGACACTGTCACTGTGTGTGTGAGACACCGTTACTGTGTGTGTGTGAGACACCGTCACTGTGTGTGTGAGAAACACCGTGACTGTGTGTGTGTGAGAAACACCGTGACTGTGTGTGTGAGAAACACCGTGACTGTGTGTGTGAGAAACACCGTGACTGTGTGTGTGAGAAACACCGTGACTGTGTGTGTGTGTGTGTGTGAGAAACACCGTGACTGTGTGTGTGTGAGAAACACCGTGACTGTGTGTGTGTGAGAAACACCGTGACTGTGTGTGTGTGAGAAACACCGTGACTGTGTGTGTGTGAGAAACACCGTGACTGTGTGTGTGAGAAACACCGTGACTGTGTGTGTGAGAAACACCGTGACTGTGTGTGTGAGAGAGAAACACCGTGACTGTGTGTGTGAGAGAGAAACACCGTGACTGTGTGTGAGAAACACCGTGACTGTGTGTGTGTGTGAGAAACACCGTGACTGTGTGTGTGTGAGAAACACCGTGACTGTGTGTGTGTGTGAGAAACACCGTGACTGTGTGTGTGAGAGAAACACCGTGACTGTGTGTGTGTGAGAAACACCGTGACTGTGTGTGTGTGAGAAACACCGTGACTGTGTGTGTGTGAGAAACACCGTGACTGTGTGTGTGTGAGAAACACCGTGACTGTGGTGTGTGTGAGAAACACCGTGACTGTGTGTGTGAGAAACACCGTGACTGTGTGTGTGAGAAACACCGTGACTGTGTGTGTGAGAAACACCGTGACTGTGTGTGTGAGAAACACCGTGACTGTGTGTGTGTGAACACCGTGACTGTGTGTGTGAGAAACACCGTGACTGTGTGTGTGTGAGAAACACCGTGACTGTGTGTGTGAGAAACACCGTGACTGTGTGTGTGTGTGTGTGTGAGAAACACCGTGACTGTGTGTGTGAGAAACACCGTGACTGTGTGTGTGAGAAACACCGTGACTGTGTGTGTGTGAGAAACACCGTGACTGTGTGTGTGAGAAACACCGTGACTGTGTGTGTGTGAGAAACACCGTGACTGTGTGTGTGTGAGAAACACCGTGACTGTGTGTGTGAGAAACACCGTGACTGTGTGTGTGAGAAACACCGTGACTGTGTGTGTGAGAAACACCGTGACTGTGTGTGTGAGAGAGAAACACCGTGACTGTGTGTGAGAAACACCGTGACTGTGTGTGTGTGTGAGAAACACCGTGACTGTGTGTGTGAGAGAAACACCGTGACTGTGTGTGTGTGAGAAACACCGTGACTGTGTGTGTGTGAGAAACACCGTGACTGTGTGTGTGTGAGAAACACCGTGACTGTGTGTGTGAGAAACACCGTGACTGTGTGTGTGAGAAACACCGTGACTGTGTGTGTGAGAGAGAAACACCGTGACTGTGTGTGTGAGAGAGAAACACCGTGACTGTGTGTGAGAAACACCGTGACTGTGTGTGTGTGTGAGAAACACCGTGACTGTGTGTGTGTGAGAAACACCGTGACTGTGTGTGTGTGAGAGAAACACCGTGACTGTGTGTGAGAAACACCGTGACTGTGTGTGTGTGAGAAACACCGTGACTGTGTGTGTGTGAGAAACACCGTGACTGTGTGTGTGTGAGAAACACCGTGACTGTGTGTGTGTGTGTGTGAGAAACACCGTGACTGTGTGTGTGTGTGTGAAACACCGTGACTGTGTGTGTGTGAGAAACACCGTGACTGTGTGTGTGTGTGAGAAACACCGTGACTGTGTGTGTGAGAAACACCGTGACTGTGTGTGTGTGAAACACCGTGACTGTGTGTGTGTGTGTGTGAGAAACACCGTGACTGTGTGTGTGTGTGTGTGAGAAACACCGTGACTGTGTGTGTGTGAGAAACACCGTGACTGTGTGTGTGTGAGAAACACCGTGACTGTGTGTGTGTGAGAAACACCGTGACTGTGTGTGTGTGAGAAACACCGTGACTGTGTGTGTGTGAGAAACACCGTGACTGTGTGTGTGAGAAACACAGTGACTGTGTGCGTGTGTGAGAAACACCGTGACTGTGTGTGTGTGTGAGAAACACCGTGACTGTGTGTGTGTGAGAAACACCGTGACTGTGTGTGTGTGTGAGAAACACCGTGACTGTGTGTGTGTGTGTGAGAAACACCGTGACTGTGTGTGTGTGTGAGAAACACCGTGACTGTGTGTGTGTGTGTGAGAAACACCGTGACTGTGTGTGTGTGTGTGAGAAACACCGTGACTGTGTGTGTGTGAGAGAAACACCGTGACTGTGTGTGTGTGCGCGATCGCGCCTCCGTGGGCGCGCGCGCCTCGTGTGTGTGTGGGTGCACTTCTCTGTGTGGGTGCGCGCCTCTGCCTGCTCGCCTTTTACCCTGCCTGCAACTATGCGCCTCGGTCTCTCTCTGTGCCTGTGCTTCTCGGATGGTGGCAGTGTATGTATGTGTAAGTGTCTATGTCTCGGACTGTCTTTGTTTTAAGTGCTCCGAGGTGCCACCCGGCGTGAACGGGGCTATATAAATGCAAGTTGATGTTGTTCGTGTGTCTCTGACTGTGTGATCTGCGTATGCGTCTCTCATCGTGAGTGTGTGTTCACACTTGTCTCGTGTGTTTGCATGTGTCTCTCTGCATGTGTGTATTTGACACTCGTGTGTGTGTGTGTGTGTGCGCACACAGTGGGAGGGATGTGATCAGTTAAATGCAGAGAGAGCTGTGTGCGTGTGTGTAATGGGGGTTGCTGGTAACTCTTGAGTGCAGGAGGTCCTGTAAAAGTCAGTGAAGTAGGTTCACAGAGTGACTGACTAAGGCTGTTCCTCCGTTGAGTTCCAGACTGAAGGTGTAAGATCCCAGGAGTTTTACAGGAGGCTCACAGATTGACCCTGTCCCTCCAGAACTCAGCCGCTCCCCAGCTCCGGATAACTGACAACTTTCTGTGGGAAAGACTTGAGTGGGGGAATCGGGGGGAAAAATAACTAAAGAAGGTTCCCCCCTCTCCCAGATCGAATGTGTCTCTGAACCTCACCCCTTCCTTCTGGGTCTCCACACTGGCTTGTCCGCTCCCTCCGCTCAGGGATCTCCAACCTGCTTCATGTCCCCCGCCACACCATCAGCGGTCGGGCCTCCCTGCCTCACCCTGTGGAACTCCGGTCCCACAGTCCCTTGGCCTCGCCCGCTCCCTTCCCTCCTTCAAGGCCCGTCTCAAGAACTTCGACTTTGACCGAGCCTTTCCTCCTACCTCTCTCCAGCCCGCAGCTCAGGTGCAAATCCTTGTCTGTCCCAATTTGTTGTTTCAACACAGCCCGCCTCCACTGTGTTTCAAACCATCCCCATTCTATCAGACATGGTCCAGCCCCCTGGCTGAAGCTGGTTTGCTGATCCTGATACTAGAGTGGCTGATTTCAAGGACCATCGTCTTACAATGGAGTCCCGTAGTGTATTGGTTATCGCACTCACCTCACAAGCGAGAGGACTGGGTTTGATTCCCGGTCAGGGCGAAACCTTAGGCAATTTTCCTTACTCCATATGCCTCTGTTTACTAACAGTAAGGAGGAAGCCAGTTGTTAGTCGATTGGTAGATCGCTTCCCAGATTTATAATCTCTCAAATCAATCTGTTACTATTTGTGGGAAACTGCTGCGCAATTTGCTACCATGTTTCGCCCACAAAATAGACAGTCATTGGACTTCAGAGTATATTCTGTGAAACGCTTTGAAACTCTTAAGCACCAGGCTCCATGACTCCATCACTCCCACTCTTGCCCGACTCCACTGGCTCCCCATCTTTAAGACCATCCATGGCCTTGCACCCTCCTACCTCTCTGACCTGCTGACTCCCTACCAACCTGCCCGCTCCCTCCGTTCCTCAGGCTCCGGTCTGCTCCATGTCTCCCGCCCGACCCGCTCTACCATCGGTGGCCGGGCTTTCAGCCTCTCTGCCCCCACACTCTGGAACTCCATCCCACGGTCCCTTCGCCTCTCTTCCTCCCTTGCCTCCTTCAAGGCTGGTCTTAAGACCTTTCTCTTTGACTGTGCCTTTGGTCTCCCTCCCACCTCTCTGCCTTCCCTCACCCCTACAACACCCCTCCCCCATGCTCGGCCCCGACACCTGACTGTTCAGCGCTTTGGCATGTCCTCCCGACATGAAAGGCACTCTATAAATGTAATTTTGTTGTTGTTTGTCTCAATGACGTGATAAGGCCCTATATCAAATACAAGGATTATTGTTATTTGTTCCCAACATGAGGAGTGTTATGAGACACAGGAGGTGCAACTTTCTTGATGGGAGGGTGGCGGAGGGAGGGGAAAACATACATGCCAGAGAGTGTTGAAGATATTTTTTATATGACGTATAAACAAATCATCTTGTGGGGTAGTTATTCTGTTTGAGCGAGGCTGATAACTTTCTGATATGCATGTTCTAGTACAGTACAATGT